ACGATATCGCTCTTACGATCACTGATCGGACTGAACTTCAATGTTGGGTCCGCCACTGATCAGGTATGTGGATATACAGTACATTGTCTGACCATCCGTGCTGTTTGTGTCAATTTTCGATCCATAAATCATTTAATTCTTTTAGAGCCTAACTCAAGCTCGCAACTGATCCAATCACTGTGCATTCCTCTAATTTTTCCTTAAAATCGAAGTTAGAAATAAATAAAAAATAATTTATTATAATAATAAGGAATTTTTTTTAATTATAAGTAAGAAAAAAAAAATTTTTAAAATATATAAAAAATTTAAAAAAAAATTTATGGTATAAATTCAGGCAAACATGCTTTTATCATTCATTCTCAATTTTGATTCGTCCAAGTACAATGTAGGATTTTGGGTCCCCATAAATTGGGTACAAATTCTTGCAGCAGCTTTTTGGCCGGTAAAAATAGCGACTCAAAATCATTATTTTGGACCGACCAATTTAATAATTTGACATTTTGCTTTGAGACAATCATCGTTAAAATTATGCTTTATGCAGCCATAATTTTCATATTTTTGTGAGTAACTTTTGTAAAATATACGTTTAATCGACTAATCAACTTTTTACCGTTAAAAGAAGTCACTTCTTGAACAAAACTTACGTTGTTGGTTATAGATTTTTCAAAAGGTTTTGAAGCACAAAATATTCAAATTTGGATATCCAAACGAAAACCCTTATAGCCATGCCAAAAGCTTATTCAAGATTCCCTACATCACGCCGGCTATTATACCCCTAACTAATCCATACTATATTGCAATTTATGCACTAACGACGTAATTAATGAAATAAAATATAAAATATTATTTGATATATATTTACTCCCACTATTCCTATCCACAAATTTTGAACACACCCCCCACAAACTAATTTCATTTCTTATAATTGGACGGTGCAATGTGTGGACCAAAGTTAGTCACCTTTTTTTTCTCTATAATTATATCACTCAAAAGGGACCCACTTTTTTCCTCAACAATTACAAGTTCACATGGAGCATGGGCACATACTATCGATGACTTAGAGACAATTCTAATGTTGCAGCACGTTAGTGACAGCTAGGATTCCAAGAAAAAATTATACTTGATTTGGTAATATTCACGAATATATTTTGCACTTCTAACCCAATTTTCTTTATTATTCTATATCGTCCTATTTTGTGTTAAATAGTTTATAGTTATTGTGTATGCGTGTAAAATATAGATTTCTATGATACTGAAATCAACCAAAATATATGGTTTCTTGAAGTAAGCGATCAATCACCTTGTGAAGAACTAGTAAAGCATAGTGATCGATCATAAAAATAAGGGACACTCAAGAAATTGTCAATGGACGATTGGATTGGTGTTACCATCGACAATCAGTCATGAAATCTTTTAAAAGTTAGTCGTAACGATTTCCGTCAATTAATATTATTAGAGCTAGTTAGTTGTTTAGATTTGAAGTTGTAAAACTCCTTTTACTTTTGTGTTCAATTCTTATTGTTTAGCCTATACCAATTTTATTATCGTCAATTACTAAAATGTATTTGTATTTCATTATGTGATAAAAATTATTCTGTGATAAAAAAAAGAAAAAATAATCATTAATTCACAATTGAGATAGAAATGTCCACATAGGATACACTTTTCTTTTCCTTTTCTTATAAAAACTCCGAAATAAACTCATGAAATGAAATAATTAAGAATAATGCTCATTGGATAGAGGTAATGATAGGATGGGGGAGACAGGGTGGTGTGGCAAACATTAATTGGGTGTTGTATTTTTTTCAAACTGTCCAATCATGTATTGACACGTGTTATATCCGTCAAGTTTGTCATTGAACATGTCATTGTAGCATAAGCATAACTCAATAATTAATCAAAAAACATAGTATTATATTTATGTATTCCTAGTATATATATATGTGAAAGGAAGTGCAGAGTCTCACATCAAAATACATTGTCTTTTCTTCCTTCCTTTCTTCTTCTTCAAGAATTTTTCAAGCCCCCACCCCCGGCCCCCCACCTTTTTCCCGATCGAGAATGCCGGCCATCGCATTTGGACGATTCGATGATTCATGCAGGTTAGGCTGTTTGAAGGCCTATTTGGCGGAATTCATCTCCACCTTGCTCTTTGTATTTGCCGGAGTCGGCTCCGCCATTGCTTACAGTTAGTAATCACTCCTTTTAACTTTCAATAAATTACGATTTGATGCAACGAAAGTTACGAGTCCATGAATCGAGTCACAACTACCCCGTCGATCATCCACATATATACACAACCATTTGAATATATAATATATTTTGAAACACCCCTACCGCTACCCCTACCCATATACAAATCATTCAGAGGATAATACGCAGAATTCATCGTTGGATTGGATCTATTAGACAGACTCAATCTTATGTGTTTCTCCGTGTGTGAGAGAGAGAGAGAGACATAAAATTAGTGATTAACCCTAGACATGCAAATGCAGATTCTGACTATAAATTTTTGTTTGAAATATATATAATTCTGATTTATTGGTACTAATTTTTTTTTTAATATTTTGACAGACAAGTTGACGTCTGATGCCGCCCTCGACCCGGCCGGGCTGGTGGCGGTGGCTGTCTGCCACGGATTTGCTCTTTTTGTGGCTGTTTCCGTTGGAGCCAACATCTCCGGTGGCCATGTAAACCCTGCTGTCACCTTTGGATTGGCTGTTGGTGGCCAAATTACAGTTCTCACTGGCCTCTTCTACTGGATTGCTCAACTTTTGGGCTCCATTGTCGCATGCTTCTTGCTCAAAGTTGTCACAGGTGGCTTGGTAGGTTAAACTGTTTTTCAATAATAAAGTTACTCTTGAAATATTTTTTTAACTAACGTCAAATTATGTCTTTCATATGGCACATCGAGTGTAGGCCATGCTCATTTTTCATTGCATGTTTGACATGTGTACAATTTTTATAGATGAGCGACTATGAGAATGTTGAAATTGCTTCACTAAACGAGTATATGATTCTTTTTTAATTTTCAACACACTTTATGAAGAATGGTCAATGGGAAAATTGTTTTCTAAACAATTTAATGTATAATTATGTTTATTAATTTGACGATTCATTTCTATGCAGGCTATTCCAACCCACGGTGTGGCAGCTGGTGTTGGAGCCATTGAAGGAGTTGTGATGGAAATTGTAATAACTTTTGCTTTGGTGTACACAGTTTATGCCACAGCAGCTGACCCGAAGAAGGGCTCATTAGGTACAATTGCTCCCATTGCCATTGGCTTCATTGTTGGTGCCAACATTTTGGCTGCTGGCCCATTCTCTGGTGGCTCCATGAACCCGGCTAGGTCGTTCGGTCCAGCCGTGGCTAGCGGTGACTTTGCGGGCAACTGGATTTATTGGGTTGGTCCACTCATCGGTGGTGGCCTGGCTGGACTCGTCTATGCCAATGTGTTCATGGTCCACGAACACACACCACTCGTTGGCGAGTTCTAAATTGTTTATCGATTTGTAATTTCCAAATCAAATTTCGAAACCCTTTTTTACTTATTTTGTGGTGATTTTAATAAAAGGAAGGAAAGGAAGTTTTTTATTTTCTTTCCTTTTTCGTTTTTCAATTCGATTGTAATCCATTTTCTGGGGTAGTGGTGCTTTAAGAAACGTTTGGATTTTGTCAATGGATGCTTTTGGTTACCTACTTTTGATGCTATTTTAATATTAAAAAACAATGGTATACATATATTTTTGCCCAACATGAGACTACTAGTCTGTCTATTGTAAGATAAAAATGATTCACAGTTACGAAAATACTTTTTGTGTAAAATGCTGACAGTCATGTCTTCTTTAATGTAACGTTTAGAGCTTTTGCATAATTTTTCGTAGTTTCAGAACATTGTTACATTATTCAGTTAAGATAAGAGTGTTAAACTTGATTGTTTTAATTTGAGGATTATGTCTCGATCCAAACATGTTAGGAATTATGACAGCATAACGGTGATCATCAGAGATCAAACCCAGTTCAACAGCATAATAACCGAACTCATTAACCAACAGCAATAACAGAGTTCAACATTCTTCTTAGCAGAATATATTTAATTCTGTAATCCAACGTATGCACAGAACATAAATTGTAGCATACAGAAATCAGAACTCAGAAAAATGGACAAAAATCGAAGTTGAAACATCGAACAATAAGCAGAAACTTGACTTCCCTTTCTATTGTTCTTCCTCCTCCATTCATGGTTGAAATGTTAGGCTCAGGAACACCTTTCCACGCCATGCAAATCACCTTCCTGAGAGAGCTAGAGAACCAGTTCAGA